TATATATATATATATATATATATGGTGCATTTGAAATCATTCCATTCCAATTTTGTGAAAATTGGAGTTATGGGGAATACAGTCAACACACATGTTTTGTGCATATGAGTCATCACCAAAATAGTCACAAAAACAGTTGGGTCAAAATAGCCTTACCATTTCATCATTTGACCCTAATTTTCTTATAGTGTGGACTAGGGTACAACTTTTATAGCCAAATTTACAACTTGTTCTAAAAGACCCAAAATATTACATCGTAACCCGTTAAGGATTGTTTACTAAACGCTTATAAGGTAAGAGTCTTTTCATTTTCTATCAAGTCTCTATACAGATTAAGTTGTATGTCTGGATGAATTTGTTTGTCTAAACGACTGGAGACTGATGGATTTGAGGGTTGTAAAAAGAGAGGGTTGGATTATTTATTGACATTTATGGTATTACTTTGTTTAAGGTGGCTTAAACGGGAAATGTGATCGATCATGGCTTAATATGTATAGCTATTTTGGCTTAATGGCTTAATGATTAAGCTGTAAATAAACACTTTTGTATGGTTGATCGAATAAGTCGTCATACCACTAAGCTCATTAAGCTGTAAATAAACATTCCCTTATCGTTTGTTGGTAAGATCGTAAAAATCACCATCTTCATTTACCTTATCGGATAACATTCCCAAACAATAAAATATTGATTACTGGTGAGCGTATTTTACCTAGTAAAAACTTACATGGTAAATAAATTCTTCCACTTACCAAATAAATTCTCGATTCCTGCTAACTGTTAATTTGTTATGCATTTTATTGGTAAAACTGTCAGTCACTGTATGCTCACTCAATAAAAGCTTAGTATGGTAATCGTAGTTAGTAGACTTGGATTTTGTACTCTTATATTGTACTTACTGGTAAAACTGTCAGTCACTGTATTTGCACAATGAGACGAAAATATTTTGTCTATAAAAAATTATAATAAAATATTCAAAATTTATATTTAAAGAAAATAAAATAAGAAATGGTGGTTGATGTATTCATAAAAAACCTTATTTTGGTAATTTAATTTAATTTATTTTTGTAATAAATTATTGCTTTAGTGAATTATTTTATTGTTTACTTTTATAATACTAGAATGATACTTACACAATGCAACGAGATATATCTCAATTTCAACGTTTTATTTTAATTTTTTGGTCTCTGTTGATGTTATAATACGACTTTATATGGTTTTAAGCAAATAATAATGTTTTTCTTAATAAAATATAAATTTGAAATTATTATAAAAATTAAAAAATATATAAAAGTTATAATTTTTTGGTGTAATTTCTTTAATTCATTTTTTTTATAATTTAATTTAGCTTTAATGACGGAATAATTTATTTTTGGTTTAATAATATAACTTTTATACAAATAATAACCAAGTATTTTGTTAGAATTCAATAACTATTCTAATCATATTTTTAATTTTATATTTAAAATGAGAATCTTATCATGTATTTGATTATATTTATCTATAATTAGTTAGACAAATTCAAACATGAAACTTTATAAGTTGTACTTACGCACAATTTACTTGTAATCCTTAATTTTAAGTAATATATATCAATAAACAGTAATTCATGTATAAAAAATGGTTTTTAAAAGTTTTTATCAAATATTTTATAATATAATATAATATAAATATAAGAAATAACAATTTTATTCAATTTTTATGGAATATTAAAATTAAAATATTTATTAAAAGGAAAATAAATGTAGTCAGAAAATTTGGAATATGCAGTAAAAGGAGAAAGACAGAGGGTATAAAAGATTAAGAGAATCCAATGTGTTTTGTTAGTTGTGTTGTGGTAGGCCTTTTCTTTGATGTCATAAATTCATTAATTCAAAAATCCTAAAAATATTTAAAATTAAATATTATGATAATTTAGGTTATATTTGTTAGCAGCTTAATGAGTTTAATATGACTCGTAATTTATTTAGTCACGTATACATGTCTGTTTGGTAACGACTTAAGGATATAGAAAGTGACTTATTTAGGTGGCGTTTGTTTTTTAAGATGTGCTGAAATCTGAAGTCTGATTTATAAGATGTGGTGCTGAAGTTTGAAACTGGATCAGTAAGACTGTTTGTTTTTTTACGTCTAAAGTCTGAAATTTGAATTGGTCAAACTAGTGCCAAAATATAAAAGAATGGATATTTTTACAGAAGTATAAAAGATAAATAGTTTTTGCTAACAAATCTCTTCTGGCCCTCCAAGATATATAACATTTTCGTTATTTTCATTGTTTTACAAAGGGTATCACATTGTGCTTATTGTATGTATATCTGGGTATCACGGTGAATATAGTTTGTAGGTATCACAGTGTATACCTTGTGTTCACATAAAGTTAATCAGAATAAGGTTCGCCGAATAAGATTCGCAGGAGAGATGAGAGAGAATATTTAGAAAATCTCTAAAATTCCTTTACTTAATATTTTAAGTTAAAATTACCAAAATTATTAAAATCCTAATTTAACCTTTAATTTGTGGTTGTGATTGAATCTCACACTTAACACAAATAAAACAGTTTTCATTTGATTAAGCTCTTACGTGTGTTTACACATATACATGCATACATCTATATATGTATGTATGTATGTATGTATGTATGTATGTATGTATGTATGTATGTGTGTGTAGACGAAAGATCGTGTGAGAATTAAAGTTAATTTGAGAAATGTGAGAAATAATCTGAACCCTTGATCACCTTTAATATCAAACTCACCTATTAATCGCGTTTGATATGGTGATTGATTCGATACATCTCAACCTAATGTGCATCAAAGTGTAGGGATCCATTCTTACGCTTCTCATTTTAACTCTTATTCTCACCGGAACCCAACTTAGTATATGTGTGTGTGTGTATATATATATATATATATATATATATATATATATATATATATATATGTGAGTTATTATACCACCCTCTGCAAATAGGTAAAGTAACTGGACATACAAAAAAGTAGAGGGGGCGATATTGTTGGATTGGGTAAACCTAATACTTTTTAATTAATTCACTATTGGATTTCATGACACATTTTATTTTAGAGTAAATTACATTTTTTTGTCACTATGGTTTGTTAAAAATTGTTCATTTCGTCCCTGTGGTTTCAAAAGTTTGGTTTTTATCCCTATGGTTTGCAATTCATTTATATTTTCGTCCTTGAGTTTACAACACTACTTATAAATACAAAGGACTAAAATATAAATGAATTGTAAAGCATAGGAACGAAAAAAGCAATAGATTTTAAATCATAAAGACAAAAAAAGATAATAAATTATAAATCACGTGGATGAAAATTGTAATTTCAAAGCCACAATAACGAAAATAGAAATTTTCAGCAAACCACAAGAAGAAAAAAAAATGTAATTTAGGGGTCGTTTATTTAAATATCTACTCGGTAAGTGTTTAACGTTAGGAGTCAACACTACAATTTTATTTTATTGGGTAAGATTGTAGTACATCAAAACGTACCTGATACAACAATTTATCTGGTAAGCGCTTACCCAGGTAAGAGTCGTTACCTCACTTACCGGGTAAGACTCTCCATCCTTATCATCGCTCTTACCGGGTAAGATTCTTGGCCCTTGTCATGTTCATTCGGGGAGGAAAATTACCCGGTAAGTACTTACCGGGTAAGCGTTTAGTAAACGGCCCCTTAGTCTTTATTTTATTTTGAGTGAATTATATATTTGGTCCCTCATGAAGACCTAATTTATGGTTTTCATCCCTCGAAATCATAAAATACACTGGTAGTCCAAAACCATGTTTCGAAGCCCAAATAAGTTTCTCCTATTAACTCCTTTAGTCTGGGTTCGTTAACCCAATCATGTGCCCCTCACATGAGGGGCATTTTATCTTTTTACTGATCTTCTCCAACCTCCTCCTTCCTCATCAAGAACACCATCCCTCGTTAGCCTTAACCACCACCACCACCAAGATTCAAACCCAAAAACCAAATCAGATCCAGATTTAAAAGTACCAGGTTCAAATCCAAGGAGGAATAAAAATCCTCTTGTGGGCACGGAAGTTCAAATGTGGTGACTCGGGACTATCTGCAAAACAGATGGTCGCCTTGGGATTAGTCGGCTCGCATATCCAGGTTAATAACAAAACTTTATATCATGTTTCACTTAAATTTCATATTTATACAAAAAAAAAACCCAATTATATACAAAAGATCAGTAAAATGGCAGTCTGAGATGAAAATAATCCATTAAATGCCATTAATTAACATATATCATTTTTATCAGCACATTAAATGCTAGTCTGAGATGAAAATAAGCAAGTGAAAAAATATCGTAAAATATAAAGTATAACAGTTACCATAATATATAAACATTTGAAATAACTTGCAACAGATAGTGATAATATGTAATAATATCGAATTCGATGATACCCAGTAAGTCAATAATTTTTGTTACGAAAGAGTAAAAGCATGATTAAGAATGAAATGATGAGGGAGAATCCAAAGTCAAAGAATCCTAAGAAAGACGAATCTTTCACTTTTTTAAAACAATAAATTTGGCAGAGCTGTTCATGGATGGTACGACTCATTAGATTGACCTGTTAGAAATACGGGCTTGGACAATTATTATTAAGAAAATGGATGAGCCCAGGTTTGTTCATTAAAATTAATGGGCGGACATGGACAATAATAAATATAGACAAGCCTGTCTAACCCGTTTACATTTTACTAGAAGGGTATTCACATAATGCATATGAATTAGGGGCTGTTTGTTTACCTCTTAAGCCGTCTCTGAATCCTTAAGAAGTAAATTTTATTTGTAAAAAAAAGTCTGTAATTTAGTTGTTTTAAAACCCTCTAAATGATTTTGTATACTGGACATCTTTTGACCATTCAACGCCCTAATTTCATTATAAACAATTACCAAACAATTATATTATTTTTTGCACTATGTCATTAGTCTATCTTAATTATTCTGACCACTTAATCATTCTACATCAAACCATTCGACAACTGTCAAAACCCCCTTAGTTTGAGCATATATAAAATTAACATCAGTTAAGTTGATTTATATTTAAACTAAAAGATAATAAAATTGTGAAATATTTAACAAAACCATTAACCAACGTTATCACTGTAACATGATTAAAAGAAGTTCCGTTTATTCGTTTGGTTTTTGTTTGTTTGTATCTCTGCTTCTTATAATCGCGGTCGGTGTTGTATTTTATTTATTTGTTGCCTTTTAAAAGAATAATATTTAATAATAATAATAATAAATTGTTATATTAATATTAATAAATCCTTTTTAGGTAAATGGCGGTTTAACTTTTAATGCCCGGTCTGCCCGGTTTTTTTGTTCATTGGCGGGAATTAATTATATTTCCCGCCCGTAAAACACGCGGGATTGCCTTCTTGCTCTCCAAGTCTCCATTTCTAAATTAAAAAAGAATTATAATTATTTTCAGTTTGATCCTTGAAGATGGAGTAAATTACACTTTTGGTCCCTATGAATATGATATATCATCTATACTATCTTATAAAGTAAATTTAACAAAAGTCTTAAAGTCTTAAAATACTAAATGACCAAGATACCATTATCTATACTACCTCACTTTTTCACCCCCTCCTCTCCTCTCCTCTCCTCACATACACTCACCCTCTCATATTGAACCGATTTTTTTTATTATTACTAGTTGTATACCCGCGCAATGCGGCGGGAGTCACAAATGTAAATGATTTGAATAAATAAGAGTTATGGTTTCAATGGTCTCGAGCGCCGTAAAATTATATGATAGTTAAAAATCCAATATATTTACACCAACCTAACCTAACCAAACCTAATTACTAATGAATAAAAAAAAATCAATTTACATAATATTTGTATTTGTATCTTGATGTACGAATATGGTAAAAATGATTAAATAATTGACCCAAATATTGGACAAAACCAAACAAATTTAATCATCTACCAACATTAATCAAATGTWCAAATTTAGTTTAATTAAATTGATTATSAAATGTAATGTACAATAAACAAATGAATTAGATCAACTCCATCTAAGAAAAGGTTCCCTTGACTACATAAAAGCATTCTTTTCAAGTTTAATCTATTAAAAATAAAACAAAAACACCCTTAAAATTTATACAAGGATCCTTTATCTTCAGCAGACACCCAACAAATCGCCCCTCTCTTTGAAGAAATCCGATTAACCAAAAAGATGACACCTATAAAAGAAGAAAATTGATTATGAGAAATAGAACAATACAGGGAGGTTCAAATGAAACCACAAAAAAAACTGTGGAAAACCTTAAAACAAATTTCAACCTTTGGATAGATTAATCCAACGAATATGATCAAAAAGGTGGTTACAACACTTGAAGGCTCCAATTCATGGAAATTTCCATCCTTCGTTTTTCTTTGGGTAAGATGGGTATCGAAGCTCTCCAGCAGCTTTGGATGAAACCATATCCAGACATGCTACGATTTGGATACAACAGCAAATCAGAAAATCATGAACACAAAACATTATTTTCCCAAGCACTAAAAAGGTCCAATTATAGCAGCATAGGGTAGTTGGTGGCTGGACAATCTGTTTAAAAGACCATTCTCCAAAAAGCCACAATATAGTGTCAAACAGTAACAAATCCACCCTGCTGCACCTATTCAATGCCAAACATTGCATTCCACACCTACCACAATATAGATGGTTGTGTATACAGTCCATAATTCATTGTTAATTAGAATCCTCCACAATCATCTATCACAGTTTAAACACTGAGAGACCTACACAAAATGAATCAACGTACAGAAATTTGAAGATTACATTGACAAAAAGATTTTTAAATTTGTGCCACATACACACCTAACACATGGATAAATTTCTAATAAAAAGATTTTGAAGATTACATTGACAAACTTATATCATGGCTATCATGAAACATACAGAAATTTGACAAACTTATATATCCTCGCTATCATGAAACATACAGAATCAGGAATTACCGACAATTACGACCTACTAATAAAAAAAATCCAAATATCATAACAAATAAACGTAAAGAAGACCCCAATATATTCCTATAAACTTTTTGAATTGGAATTTGGAAAACCAAATATATAGTCCAGACACTGAACCCTTACTCTCATCATATAATTTGGAAAACTCAGACGATTTAAGAGCTGCATCTTACACATATAATTCAAATAACAGGTACATAATAGTATTATATGGAAATCAACAAATGGTGATTATAACCGAGCAATAGACTAAGTAACCTTATCAGATGAAGATGAAAATAAAGCTACAAGTAATCAAAAGTTAAACAAAGCAAAAGTCTTCTGACAACACCAATCGCTCCCCCTGTGCAGCACCTTCCCCTCCCTCCTGTAGTTTTTTGCAACCCTTTCTTTTGAGATAGAGTAATTCCCATTCCTGGGAAAGTTTTTTGTTTCAGATTCTTTTATTTTAAACTTTTAATCACCAAAGTTTACATGTTTATGTTTAACCACCAAACCAATTTTAATCCACGACATTTTTGGTCATTTTGGCATAAATGACATCTATTTGAAGGTTGGGTGGCCCCCTTTGACGTTTTAATTGTTGGTATTTAAAACTTATAGCAAACTTTGGGAGCCTCCCTATATATTAAACTTGTCTTTTATTAAATTATTAAAATGGATTTTGCAGATAACATGAAAAAGATACCTGGATTGTATGATAAGAAAGATGGATGAATAGACTTACATCTATTGAACCTTTCTTGGCTTTGATAACTACACCAGATCTTCAATCAAATTCCACAGGGATCGTAACCGATGGTTGGTGAAGATGGCAAAAAAGCAAGCCATATACCCTCCAACTTCGACAGCCTGAAAAGCAAATTGCCCTGAATGCACATTTTCAGCAGAGTGATAGCAACTCCCATATGTCGAAATCACCTGCATTACATAAAGAAAACAACAAAAAAACACTTTAATCCGTACATCAAGATACAAATACAAATATTATGTAAAATGGTTTTTTTTTATTCATTAGTAATTAGGTTTGGTTTGGTTAGGTTGGTGTAAATATATTGGATTTTTAACTATCATATGATTTATCGGCGCTCAAGACCATTGAAACCATAACTCTTATTTATTCAAATCATTTACATTTGTGACTCTCGCCGCATTGCGTGGGTATACAACTAGTATCTTATAAATCAAATTTAACAAAAGTCTTAAAATATTAAATGACCAAGATACCTCACTTTTTCACTTTAATCCCTGAACCCTAAATTATAATTTTAAATTTACACTTTATACCCTTATAATTAGTTAATTAATCTATTTTATGTCATTTACTTTTAAATGTTTCATTTTAAACATTTATCAAATTAACATACATAATCGTATATCAATTAAAATATGTTTAAAAAATACATTTTTATTTTAGTAAGTTACACCATTATAATCGTTTTGTCAATACAATCGATATGAGTCCAATATTGAATAGTTTTTTTATTTAATTATATTATTATATATTATATATACTGTGAAAAAATATTTTTATTATTTACGATTTATACTTTTATAGTTATTTATGTATATATTTACTATATATTTTGGGGTTAGGCTGTCCAAATTGCACTGTATAATATATTCCGAATTAATATGTTCTTGAGTTTTTTTGAAATATATACATGTATTAATTCAACCTTAATCTGAGTTTCTAGACAAGAAAGAGGGTAAACAGTTGAAATTTCATTCTAAAACCCATTTTTTGGGTCTTTTCATGGCTTATGATCTATCAAATTTGTAGTTTTCTTTATTGGTTTTGAGTGTTTATCTTAAAACTCAAGTTTATTGATTCTTTGCTCTTGGTGTAAATCGAACACATTTGTGGAGTCGTTTAAATATGTTGGATTTTAAACTGACATACAATTTTTTCCATCGATAGTCTGTAATTGGGACCATAACTCTTATTTATTTAAATTGTATTAATATGTAAAGACCAAGTGTAACCTATATCATCGTTAAATCTTATCTTATAAAACCAGTGGAACTTCAAAATCGTTAAAATTCATGGTTCCATCCGCATTACGCGGATACACAACTAATATATACACACGCACACATATATATATAAATTTAAAAAAAAATGGTGTGTAAGTATTTATGTGGTAGTGAGTAAAAGGAAAACAAAAAGGTCCTATGGTCTAGTGGTTAGGACATTGGACTCTGAATCCAGTAACCCGAGTTCAAATCTCGGTAGGACCTCCTTTTTTATCCCTTTCCTTTTTTCTTTATATTTATATTTAATATTTTTAATAAATAAAACTTACTTTTCTTTTCTGTTCCAACTTAAACATTCACATTAATATTTTAATATCTATGTTTAGTAAATTAATTGATGAATAATTATATTTCTCAAAAATTAGTTTATAATTAATAGTTAATATTTACTTATAATTAATAATAATAATTAATAACTAATATCAATCAGAATTATAATAGAAAAAATGTTAAATAACTCTTCGTAAGTACTCTAAATAGCTTATCAATAAACTAAATAAATCACTTTTTATATTATTAAGCCACCACCAAACAATTATATATAGTTGACCAAATAAACCACTAAGGTTGGTGTACATGTACTGATCCGCAAACTCATGGTTACGAAAAAAGAACCATGGGATTACATGCGACCTTGTTGGAGACTAAGTCGTCACACAAACTTACGTCGACAATATTCGGTAATCACATCTAATTCCAGTGTAAAATCATATGATTCGCAAACTCATGGTTACGAAAAAAAAAAACCATGGGATTCCATGCGACCTTGTTGCAGACCAAGTCATCACACAAACTTACGTTGACAATGTTCGGTAATCACATGTAATTTCAATGTAAAATCACATTTGATTTGACTGTTGTTGCATTCTCTTATTTTGACACAGTACTCGTTTGATACTCTTCTGACTCCCTTCCATTAATTGAGAATCTTGTTTGACAACAAAAAATCTGTCTCTTAATGGTTCTAAAACCATCTGAATGATTTTGTATCATGAGCCTCTCTTAACCATTAAACGCCATGATTTCATTATAAACAATTATATTATGTTTTACACTATATCATGAAAGTCTCTTAATCATTCTGACCACTTAATCATTAATCAACAGACAAAGAACCTTTACAAAAACACAAATATCCATTCTTATTCATGAATACAACCCAAAGATTCGTATAAAAACACACCCAATAAATCATATATACATTTAGGAATTCCAATCCAATTGTTAAGAGTACCTGTTGTTCAATTAGGGTTGGATTTCGATGAACTTATTCGTCATCCATCTTCTAGCAACTTCAGATAACTTACGATCTTCAACCTGCAACTTTCTTAATTCTGGAGAATTCAGGATCAGGAATTCAACACCTTCAATCTGAAATCCATGGCAGTAAAGCAGATCGATGCTTTCCAAATGCTTACAGTTCTTGCACAACGAAATCAGCGATGAATTGGTTAGTTTACTGCAACCTCTTAGTTTCAATTTTCGAAGATCACAATATGAACTGATCATCGATGCAAATTCTTTATCAAGCAACATATGATTATAGGACAAATCCAGTATTTTGACGTTTTTTAAATTCTGAGCTAATTCAACCAGGAATCCATTGTGTCTGTTGATCACATCGCAGTTTGTGAGAGATAATTCTTCGAGGTTTTCACTCAAAGCTAACCCTAGCGATTTGAATCCTTCACCGGTAACCATTGAACAGCTTTGCAATCGTAGAACTCGTAATCGGTTGAATTTTGCACCGATTTCGAACAAGTGATTGTCGTCTAAATCGAGAGGTAAACGGAGGTCGAGTTTTTGGAGATTACATCGGGTTTCGCGGATGAAATGAAGCAAACCGTCTTTGCTACCGCCATCGTAAATTAACAACGATTCCAGATAATTACAATGATTCTCGGCTAATTTGATCAGAATCAAGCTAACGATTGATCTACAAGTCTTCAATTCGAGTTCGTGAAGGTTCTTCAATTCTTTCATGAAGCAGGAAAATGAATAATTATCGCCAACGCCATCACAGTTCTCGAAAACGAGCTTCGTTAGTGTTTTGTAACTGCAATTCCTCCATAACCAGTTGAGCTGGTAATCACCGGCGCGAATTCCCGATAAACAGAGGGATTGTAACTGCAATTCAGCTGAAGATGGATAGTGATCGGGTGAAGATTCCGGCGAGACGTTTCCGACGAGAACTACGGTTAGTGATTTCAGAGCTCGAAAAGACGATAGGAAATGAAAGGAGAGACGATTTCTGGAGAGGATAAGAGAAAGCGATGAGAGGTGAGGGCATGCGGTGGAGAGAGAAAGCAAAGGTAACAAAGAGACGGGGCCAGTGGCGAGGTGGAGGCGCGTGATGTTAGGACAGGTGGCGGAGATGGAGATGAGGAGGCTGTCGGAGAAGGATGTGGCGGCGGCGGCGGCGGCGGCGGGGGCCGAGGAGGAGGAGGAAAGGGAAAGGGAAGAGAGGTAGGTGTGATGAGAAAGGAAGGAGGAGAGGGTGGAGAAAGAAGCATGGTTGGGGGAGAGGCGGAGGGAGAGGGCGGAGAGAGATGATCGGAAAAGACGGAGCCAGCGTTTCGAGACGAGGGAGACGGCGGAGGACGACGGAGGAGGGATGCGGTGGAAAATTTCTTGGAGGAGCTCGTCGCAGAGGATTATTTCCATTTTATCATGAATTTATCGAGAAAAATAACACAATAATTGACTAAATTTATACTAAATAGGAATAAGTAATATACGAATTTCATCCCTGTGATTTGTTAAAAATTACAAATTTGGTCCTCAAAAGTTATCTTTTAAATAATAAGTTTTGGAATTCGTTTTTCAAGAGTATGTAAACTATCTAAATTAATTATGAGGATAAAGTTGTCATTTAGCCATTTTTTTTAATTATCTGATATTCCATTATGAATTTAATCTTCTACGTGAGACCACTAACAAAAACTCTAAAAACAAATCAAATGTAAATTAAGAACTCAAAATCAACCTTAAACTAAAAACCCAAAAGATTTGAAATCGAGATGGGTGAGAACACCACGTCATGAAAAACCATATATTGTGTTGGGATGAACTGGGTCTTAATCTGTAGGGGTAAGATGGGGAGAAAAGTTATATTTGAAATTGAAATGGACGAATGGCGAAACCAGGATATGGGTATTGGTTTCACAACATAATCCAAGGTTTCTTGGTTAAGAGCAACAAAGGTCATTGTCTGAAATGGTTTCAGGGGTCGTCTGTTTCAATTTTACAGAGAAATCTTGATGGAGTTGCAAACTCTTCCATCTTAAATGGTTTCAGTTCTTTTTGAACGACAAGATAATTTGTTAACAAAAGAAACAGACCGCAAATAAGGCAAGGAAGGGAATTCTACAAGGAAAAGAAATATAATCAAATATAACCAAAAGAAAAGCAAACAAAGGGGCTACACACCCAAAGAACAAGTCACGACCATCCGTAAGTTAAAAATACGAAATTTACAACAAAACCCAGAGAAACCAAAACCAAAGAAAACCAAGTGACGGAAAAACCCATTAGAGTGGAAATAACAAAAAGACTGAAATGTCCTTATAGTTAACGGAGATGGTGGATGGCCATTCGGGTGAGAGAGCAGTTTCAAAACAAAATGCAAATATGAAGTATTTAATCTTAATTAGCAATAAATGAAGTTAAAGGACCAATTCCGTTACTTTCACCAAACCACGGGGATGAAATCAAGAAATTGAAGGGCATGATGTCCTGTGCCACCCACCTACTTTCTACATTGGTGTCCGAAGGACTACTCACCTACGCGACTTACAAGTGTCATTTACGACACGCGCGACGTTTAAGGCGATCAACTTGAATTTTAAATAAAGTAAAGAATATTTACAAGACGATCCTTCATTTATATTCATTCTTCACCTTCGCCCCCTGTTATATGTTTTCTTCCCTTTTTAATTCAAATTGTAAATTTCAAATGAATATTGTGCCTTTCGAAGTCATAAATTAGAACATCTTTAACAACTGTGTTCTTTAAAATAATGAAAAAAGGTGAGAAAATCTGTATAACATTTTTGTGTTAAAAACATTAAAACGTTTAGTTCGGACTTGGAATCTAGGGGTGCTCATGGGTTGAGTTAATCGAGTTGAATACATTTGAACAACTCAACTCAATGCTTGCGGTTTGAAAAATCTTAACCCAACCCAATTCAAACTGTACAGATTGGTCGAGTTGATATTTTGGTATATTAAAATATTTTTCTAACCTTGAATATGTTATTTCTGCATTCATAATTTATTTTTCATCACCAATCATTTGATACAACTTATTCATACTTTTTAAATTTTATGTATTTCACATTTAATTCATTTTCTCAATTTACATATATATGTTCACAGTTGTTGAACATATATACGAATGAGTTATATAAAAATGAAGAATATATTGAAAATATGTGTATATAAAGAGGGTACGTAATAGTTTAATTGTCTAACATATATATTGATAGAGACTCAATAATCATATTAAATCCAAGAAATACAAAGATATCAGGTTCATATGGTTGGGTTAGAATAGTAACCAATTTCAACTCAATATCTACGGTTTGAAAACTTTACAACTCAATTAGACATCGGGTTGCTTTGAGTTGAGTTATTTCATGCTGGATTGAGTTGAATTCATCGGATCAGTCGGGTTTTTAAGCACCCTTATCGGGATCGGTCTGATGGGACTGAAACCAGTAACCGGGTCTAAGATTGGTCTAGGATATTTTGTCGGGACTGAGACCGGTCCGACCTGGATCCCATTTTTAACAATCTCTAAGTGAAATAATAAATGAATATAAATAGGACGAAGGAAAAAACAAAATGTTATGTTGGATGTAGTTCTAATGAGGTTACTCTTAAGTCAAAGAGATCACCCTATTAGAAACATAAAAATATATCATATGGGTGAGAAATGAAATTAATTTTGATTAGGGACAAAAAGTGAAAGTTAGAAAATAATATAGGGACCATTCTTGTGAATTTTAAAAATTGAGTATTTTAACTTTATTTTGAGAGCGAAGAAGAATAGCAATATATCCTGCGTTGGTAAAAAAATAGTCCATTTTACCTGAATACAATACAAGTTTCGAGTCTGTTCTGGTGCTCCTTGCTATTTTTAGGGGCTGTTTGATTTTAATAAAAAAGCTTTTGATGTTCTTTTAAGTCTGAATCGGTCAGACATAAGAGGATTCAGTGTTTTGTTTTTTTTTTTTTTTTTTTCCAATTAAGAGCTTAAAAGCTCTTATTAGGTCTGAAAATTTAAGTGGTTGTGAAACCTCTTATTACCTCTTATTTCAAATCGTCGCCTACCTACTCTGATCTCTTTGTTCTCGATTTCTCTAGATCAACTCTTCTGTCTCGATCTCTCATCTCTCAACTTTGTCAACTGTCAATCCATATCAACTCTCGATCTCTCATCTTCAAACTTCAGATTTCAGACGCAAAAAACAAACAGTCTGACTGATTCAGATTTCAGACTTCAGCACAACCTCTTAAAGATCGGAAGTGAATTCAGACTTCAGACTTCAGCACATCTTAAAAAACAAATGCGACCTTAGTCGCTGAGTGAACCAAAAAATATCTGCTCACATGAGTATCCTTTAAGACGGGTTCAGTTAGACCGATCAGGGTTGTGGGTAATCAACTTTTTTGTCCAAATACATCCATTTTATTACAATCTTAGTCACTACCACAACAAATAATAAACACGTACTTCTTCCTTATCAGATCATATACTGCTTTCAACAATTCCATTGGATTTCAACCTATGAACACCCCTTATTTGACAAATGACATTTTGTTGTTGGTGTGTTGGTACATATGCTATCAATAAAACATCAGACTGTTTACCAAAACATAGAGGTTAAATGATAATTTCAAATAGACAGCTTATGTATTAATATTATAGATTTTAAACAAGCTGATGGCAACCCTGTTGTCTTATTGGATACAGACAAGTATGTTAATCATGACTTAAAATTTGTAGTCATTTATATAACGAATGATAAGAGTATTAATTAGATAAGACGCGACTTCTATTATTTTAGAATTTAATGAAATTGTTTTCTATTTGGAATCAAACTCTTGCATTTTTTTTGTGAAAAAGTTATAAAAAAGAAAATAATATTTTAATGATATGTGACGTCATTAATAGTTTTTAATAATTATAGAATATTTGAATTTCTATTAATCATAATATTTTACAAACTTAATTTGTTTTTATAGGCTTCCCCGCAACTCTGAGCAGTCTCATCACGGAACCTATCTATAATGACATCGATGTGGAGGAACATTAACCATAAGGGTAGTGTCAGATTGGTTTGAGCTTGAGCTTCGAATGTTAAAAATGTCTGGAGGTCTCAGGTTCGAATCTAATGAGGAATAAACACCCTTTGTGGCCACGAGGGTTCAAATACGGTGAATCTGAGTTGTCCGCGACACGGTTGGTCGTTTTGGATTAGTCGGCTCGCATAGCGGGTTGGATATCCAGGTTAATCAAAAAAAAAAAAAAGTGAATGAACATTTTTTTTTGACTCACTCAGCGATTGAGGCTAGCTGTGGGTCGCAGGATCGAACAAGGGATCTGTCTTCTATTTGGAAAAAGTCGTTTCACCCCTTGTCAACTGAGCAACAAGTTAACGATCATACGTCTATACTGATTCCGAAAAGACGGAAACCTCATGTCTATTTGACGAAACAAAATCTAAGTAACTAGAGTGTGATTAACCGATCTACATGGTACATGCAGTTCAGTAGAGCTCTCATCGATACAAATATTTTCTCATTGTTTTCGGCACGAGATTTACTTTCACAAAGTTCTTATAAGTAAAAAGTGAAGTGACTTGTAAGAACTACCATTGTAGAGGGTTCTTATAAGAACCACACTCTCTTTGTGTGAAGTGACAATTTTCTAGTTTTCTATATATTTTATTGACTTTATAATAATTACTGATGTTGAAAAAAATACATAGAATCCACAAAAAAGAGTAAATAGCAATGATGGAGCAATGAAAAGTAAGATGTCGTTTACTAAACACTTATTTGGTAAGTGCTTACCGGATAATTTTCTTATCGGATGAACATGAGAAATGCCAAGAATCTTACCGGGTAAGAGCAATAAAAAGGATGGAGAGTCTTACCCGGTAAGTAAGGATGACGACTCTCACCCAGGTAAGCACTTACCCAATAACTTATTGCATTCAATATGTTTTAATGTACTAAAATCTTACGCATCAAAATAAATTATAGTATTGACTTCTATCGATAAGCACTTACCAGGTAAGAATTTGGATAAACCACACCTAATTTCTTATAAAAACCAAATGTGATTTAGCTCATAGATGCCTTTGGTTGACTTTATTATTATGTAAATATATTATTGAGGTTGTAATATATGATAAATGATAATTGTAGGAATAAGTCATACCAAATTTTCAATACAAAAGCAATACTAATAAATATAGGCTCTTAAAATTTGGTATAACTGTATTGGGTTTATTTCACATTAGACCAACATGTTTTTGTGAGATCTGTAAGTTTATATTTTTACAGTTGAAACTTCACAGCAAAAAACTGTGAAGGTAAAAAAAAAAGTCAAACCTTCATTGTAAAAACAATGTGAAGGTTACATTCACAATGTTTTGCTATGAAGTTTCAAGTGACAAAAAATAGTCTCACGTGATTAACACTCTCCACAATAAAATCGATTAATCAACCTTTCATAATTATAAAAAATGAACAAAATGAAAAATTATGATTGGTTGAATAAGATTTGTATCGTTTGTATACATAACATAGTTTGTAAAGTAACTCTCCCCTCTCTCTCTCTCTCTCTCTCTCTCTCTCTATATATATATATATATATATATATATATATATATATATATATATATATATATACTCACAAGGGTTTAGAGTTTAGGGAAGTTCAAACAAAAACAAGATCAAAAATAAGAAAATAGTCAAATCACATGTGATTTTATATGCGATAACGGAATACAGTCAACACATGAGTAAGCGAACGACCTAATTCGTCATTACTGGTTGTGATCAAAGTCATAAGAATCACAAGTGATTTTAATGTAAAATCAAATTTGATTAAATTATTTTCATATAATATTATTTAATTAATATTCTATAATAAACCAGGGAACATCTTATATTGAAAACCACCCAATGGTTTCAAAATTAGAACAAGAATAAGAAGCCAAAACTCCACCCCTTTCTTAAAACCAAATCATCCAATCATATTTTGCCATTTGGAATATATATACCAAATATATTGTTATTTTATCCACTCTTTTAGAGGGAATACATGCTTTCAACCTTTGCTTTATTTAGCAATCACATCTTTTGATTATTCAAATTAACTTTTAATTTCATAAACCCTCAACCTACTTTAACTTGATTCTTATTTTGGATAACGTATTTTAATTTATTTTTTATTTTAGGTAATGTACTTCAACTTGATTTTTATTTTGGATAATGTACTTTTAAACTTTCATTTTCATACTTGAAATGTAAAATTTTAAGTATTTAAGTACCCGAGTAACTTGTTGAACCATTAACCAGTTATTATATTGATGTGGCTTTAACTTGATATTATTTGTTGAAGTAGTTAGTGACATGAATTTTTTTAATCTAAAATTAGTCTTCAATCGGTTACCGAGATACTTAAATGTTTAAAATTTTACATCTTAAGTACTAAAATAAAGGTTTTAAAAATACATTACCCAAAATAAAAATCAAATTAAAATACGTTAATTTTTCATACAATTTACCCTTAATTGACAACTTTCATAAATATATTGATAGTATTGAAGTAAATCAGTTATTACCCGTTTTTCTAAAATGTTTTATTCTCCTTTTAATTGTAGTTTCATTTCACATATTATCGCATTTCGATTAATTATTATGATTTATTAAATATTAAAAAATAGAATATATTTTTTTTATAATAATATACATGCTTCATCAAAATGATTAAAATAACATTAATATTGAATATTAAAATACATAAAATAAAGATTTATCAATATCTTTAAAATAAAAAATCAAAACTCTATAAAAAAAATTACATTGAATTTTAATAGATATTTTTATTTTAAAAATTATAATATTGATTATATTATTAAAATATCAATATAATAAAATATTATTTCTTTCTTATAAACATTTAATATGTTTCTTATTAATGGATTATAACAAAAATAAATAATTATTTTTTACAACTTCTTTAAATTTGAAGAATTTCATTCTCTCTATCATGTTTTTTTCATTTTAAAGAAAGTTTTAAGAAATCTGTTAAAGTAAATTTGTTCAAAAACTCCAATTTTGAGAATCTCTTAGAGATGCTCTTTAGAGTAAAAACTACAAATTTGGTCCCTATGGTTTGTTGAAAATAACACTTTCTTTTAGATACATAATATTTATATACGACAAATGCAACAAATAAACTCACACCCTCGGTTAGGTTTGAAGCCCTAACCTCCCAAGATGCCAAAGACTACGATATCGCTAGGCCAAAAGCTGTTTGGTGAAAAAAAAAATAACAAATAACATTTTTCGTCCCTGCAATTTAAAAATTACAAGATTGTTATTCTTTTTTATAAAAACGTCCAGATTTGGTCTCTCCTAACAATGGTTAAAAATCCCTTTAAACGAGAGATATTTTCATCATTTTATTGCGTTTTTGGCCTTTTACTCAATCAAAAACCACATTAACCAAAATCATAAAATCGATTTTGATTGGGTAAAAGACAAAAAAAAGATTAATAAAATAACAAAAATGACCCTCATTTAATGTAATTTTTAACAAACGTTAAAGAGAGAGACCAAATTTGAACGTTTTTACAAACCACAATGATCATCTTGTAATTTTGAAACCACAAAAACAAAAAGTGTTTGACAAACCATAGGGACCAAATTTGTAGTTTACACTGTTTTTTTTAACTTCATCGTTAGTAATGCTTACTTTCATTAATTTTTCTAATTTTTTAATTACTCAAGAAAAATATGACACGACTTACAAAACGACAAATTACATGTTACAGTTTAACGTTTTAAAATACACTTTTTGAATGCAAATTGCATGAAAAAATAACGTATTTTAATTTGATTCCTATTTTGAATAACGTACTTTCAAAACTTCTTTTTTGATACCTAATAAACGTTTGAATCATTAACTATTTATTCTAATAAACCACAATACATAAAAACTAATTTTAGATTAAGATATCCATGTCATAACAAATAATACCGAGTTGGATATCACATTACTTGTCATATCAACATGGTAACCGGTTAATGCTTCAACCGATGATTACCCAGTTACTTAAATGTTTAAAACTTTATATCTTAGGTACCAAAATGAAAGTTTTGAAAGTATGTTGCCTAAAATAGAAATCAAGTTAAAACACGTTACTTTTTTATACAATTTGTCTTTTTTAAAACATGATGTACACAAATTTTAAATCTAATAAAATCCCATTAATATGAAAATCCAACTAACCAAATATAATATAAAAAACTAATTATACAAAAAGAAATGAGTTGCCACCTTCTTGATTGAAATGGATTGAGAAATGCACTACACCTAGTGATGGCCCAATTTCTCCTCTATTTCCCCTTAAAAAACTATAAAAAAAAGACCTCCACTTCTAAAATCTAAAACGAATCCAATATATCTCATCTGGCAGGTAAAGTCTAAAAGAGCTAAAAACATACGCAGATCTAACTTAAACCAGACGAACCCTGTATATTTTATCTGAAGGTAGGGTCTGAAAAGGTTATAATGTATTCAGATCTGAACTCTGTTCTAACAACAATGTAGGAGAATGCAAATACATAAAACCCAGCAAGGAAGGTGAACCATGCATATATAGATATAAGTGGCACTATTCCATGCCCATAAAGACTCCACCCAATACCAAAACTCAACTAAACCTGACCCGTTCTGAACCCCAAACGCACCTTTCACCACGAAAAAAGCAGCACCCGGAAACCCGACCGTTAACAAAAGCAAATTAAAAGCGGAGTGGGCTTTACCTGCTATCTTCCATGGTTTAATCATCAAGCACATCGGGACCAAAATTAGAGCTCCAATTTCTGCGGTTGCAAAGTTTATGACTGACATTAGACACAGGCCGATGAACAGAGATGATACCGTGACTGATTTCAGAAGAACCCATTCTTGAAGATGGGTGGAAGACCCGAAGAATGAGCGAAGTACAGCAAGGATAAAGATTGAAAGGGAAGCCCAGATAAGAAGGCGGGATGTTGGTTGGCATTCGGGTATTTGATATATGAAATAAGGAAGTAATGAGACGATGGCTCCCCATAAATGAACGAGAAATATGGTTTTTGTTGGGTAGAGCCATCTCCAGGATTGGAAGGGTTCGGAAGATGATGATGTGTGTTTTTGTGAATTGGGGTTCGTACTAGTGGCATTGGAAAAGAGAGAAGCGGCAACCACGGGAAGGGGAGCAACAAGGAGCAAGAATGCTATCATGTAGACCCCGACCGATATAAATTTATTTGAAGATGTTAAGAGGTACAAGAAAAAGGATTGGTGAAACTTTTCTAGGAGGTTATTGACCGAACGTACGACTCCTTCGATTAACCTGCATTTTAAAAATAAAGAGTTATGGGTTGCAAACTAGTGGATGAAGCATGTATTGTTTCAAGTCCCTAAAAACCGATCACCATGCAAAATAGCAAACTTAGGGGTTGCTTACTACCTGCTTACCGCCTCTTACCTGGTTAGAGGTGTCTTTGTTTACCAAGCCCCTCTTACCGGTCCATGATGCTGACTGAGATGCTTAACTGGTAAGCTAAGGGAGGGACCCTTAGAGATTGTTTGGTTGATTTCCCATCAAGACTTGTATGGATAAAGTTGTTTGTGTGGATTAATCCATCATTATAGACCGTGAAGGTTTTTGTTTCAGAGGGTTTTCTCATAGATGGAAGGAGAGCGTTTTTTAATTGGGATGAGCAGATTTGGAAAGAAAAAAAAAGCTTGACTTTCCGCATAAAGCTTCCCCACAAAACCTTAGTAAATAAGCCACCTCCTATATCATTAAGCCACGGCCAAAAAGTCATGTATAGCTAACCGAATAAGTTGCGGGTCCCATTAAGCTCATTAATTAGTCAGTGATTAGTGCTTACCCAGACTGCACTCTTACCTGGTTGGCGTTTACCGAATTTGTGTTGGTAAAAGGCCCCCTTAGTACGTCCGCTTGACTTAATCCCACAAGCAGATTAATGAAGATTGTTCCAATATGTGCAACAGTAAAAAAGTTCCACAGTTGTGCCCAGGCTTGCCAATTTTGAGCTTACGAGAAAGTTAAAAATGTCAGGCTGTATGACATTAGTTATAAGGGTAGCAGACTCTTAAGAATAAACCAAACCCACCCTAAGGTAGGCTTGGATAGAGCTTTTCAAAGATCAGATGTCAAAAGCTCGATGGAACAAATACTATTCCTCAATACGGTGTCTAAATGTGTTGGTTGTTATTCCAATTCATGCGATAAAAAATAATATTCTCTCTTTTTTGATAGTGATATTGCTATTAGAGTGCGTCTGGTACCCGGATAGGACAGAACAGAACAACGCTTGGTAAGATGGGATTAAACAGAACAGGACTGGTTATGACCAATTCACCCCTAATGAGTTGTTTATATCTTTTCTATATGGGAAAATTGCACCAAAATGGAACCAACTTTCACCTAATTACTATTTTGGGGAACCAACTTTAAAAATTGTCATTTTGGGGAACCAACTTGCACCTGATTCCTATTTTGGGAAACCAACTTTCAAAATCGTCATTTTGGGGAACCAACTTGCAAAATAATTATAGAAAAATAACTAAAATTCGTTTTTTTTCCAAAAAATTAATGCAATAAAATCTATTTTTCATTTCAAATCTCGTTTTTTTTAATTCAAATATCAAATTGAACATTTAAAAAAAATCCAAATTAGCACAATAAAAATTATTTTTTACTAATGCAAAAAAAATCAATTTAATAGAAAAAAATTAATTGATGCAATAAAAAATAAATATTAAATATCATATTCAATATTTTTATATCTAACCAATTGCATCAATTAATTTTTTTCTATTAAACTGATTTTTTTTTGTGGTAATTTGGATTTTTTTTTAAAAATGTTCTATTTGATATCTTAATTAAAAAAACGAGATTTGAAATGAAAAATAGATTTTATTGCATTAATTTTTGAAAGAAAACGAATTTTAGTTATTTTCTATAATTATTTTGCAAGTTGGTTCCCCAAAATAGGAATCATGTGCAAGTTGGTTCCCCAAAATGATGATTTTGAAAGTTGGTTCCCCAAAATAGGAATCAGGTGCAAGTTGGTTTCCTCAAAATGACGATTTTGAAAGTTGGTTCCCCAAAATAGGAATCAGGTGCAAGTTGGTTCCCACAATTTTGAAAATTGGTTCCCAAAATAGGAATTAGGTGAAAGTTGGTTCCATTTTGGTGCAATTTTCTCTTTCTATATTTTGATTAATTTATGTAAGTTATCAAGTTATAGTAAAATAAATATTTTTTATAACAAGATGTATCAGTAGAAATTTTTCGTCAAGATGATTAAAATAACACCAAAATATGAAGTTTATTTAATTCCAAATTTTATTGTATACCTTTTTTATATTATTTTTTTATTACTAGTATTAAATAAGTTACATAAATTAACCATAATATAGAAAACGTATAAATAATACTTTGAGGATACTAAAGTGAAAGTTTAAAGATGATAAAAAACGATAAATAAAATTAAAAGAATGGATAAAATGTGAAGAGGGAGATGTATTTGATGTTTTAGAAGAGAATTATGTTTTATTTTGAGAGTATATTGGTAAAACATAGGCTTGTTCCACTTATTCTACATTGTTCCATGGGGTGGAGGTAGAACACATCCACTCCACCTTGTTCTTGTTTGTTTCACATAGAAGTCATGACAAACGTGGAACACTGATCCCTTGTTTTGTCATGTTAAGTGTATCAAACGCACCCTTATTGCACATTACAGTAATCTCTTTACTGCTTTTCTTCTAGTTGTAGCAAGATTTATGTAAATATTTGCTTCTATTTCCATCTTTACATATAAATTATTCGGTAGGCATGATGAACACCACTGCTGTTATTCTCGGTTTTATGAGAATTTGGATATCCAGAAACACGCTTATCTCCAAAAAATTCCCCATCATTTATCAAGAAATGTTATGCAGATTTACTCCAAACTTGTCGAGTTGATGAAAAAATTTTCAAAAATAAAGTGTCTTCTAACTTTGTTAATCCTAAGGCATTTCTGTTTTTGGTAAGCAACATCTTACAGTGACTGCCCATATCCTCCCTATTGATTCCTTTCTGAAGGCTGAGAACTACAATCGGGTTCATCTGTTAAGGTGGATACAACTGATTCAGTTCTGAAGAAATAATTTAGACCTCCTCAACTTGTATCCTTCTAACGTCATATTTCCTTGCTTTTCTTCTTTTAATTCGGTTCATGCAGGTTTGTTTTTACACGTAATATATAGTGTATATTAGTCTTGGGGGCAGTTTACCAAACCCTTACCGGGTAAGTGCTTACTGGTGAGTGTCATCACCCTCACTTACCTTAACTGGTAACATTCTCGGCCATCAAAATGAATTGTGGTAAGCATCTTTTATCCAGTAAACGCTTACGGGGTAAGAGCCTTCTCCCTCACTTACTGGGTAAGATTCTTGGTCCTTGCATGCTTACCTGTGAGGCAAGTGGCAATCGGTAACTGCTTACCCAGTAAGAGTTTGGTAAACGGCCACTTAGCATACTTTTTTTTCTGGACCAAATTATGAAATTCCATGTCAGGTTTCTGGTTTCTTTGGATATTTTGTACTATTTTGGGTCATGGTATTCCATGAACATTTGCTTCTAGTTCCCTAGGTTAAAGATCATACTCATCCACTGTGGATCATGCTTTGGAACTGAAAAAGAGACCATTACTTGATGTTCGAATTTAGTTTTGGATGGTTCAATTATATGATTAAATTTTGACGACACTTTGCAGTTCATAACGGAAAAAAAAAATACTAGCCAGCATGTAGCATGGTAAAAATATAAAACCAGCTTATATGATAAATCACAATGAAGTTCATACCTGCCACCTCGAAACAAAAACTCCGTTTGTCTGGCTTTATTACTAGAAGATAGCTTGGGTGAAATCTCTAAAGTAATTGCATCAACTTGATAATCACGGAAAGCTCCATGGGAACCGGTGGGGACACCTATTGCCTGACATAATGAAAAGAGAAATATAGTAATCAACCCAAAAATCCTTGTTGTAATACCAACCAGCTTCATCTGATACGAATGTATATCCATTTTGTTTGGGGAATTAACTAAAATAGCCATTCTCAGATGTTGGTTTCATCTCTTAGCCATTTCTCTTCTAAACACACCAAAATGTAGCTAGGTCCGCCAATGACAAGTCTGCAATTTCCGGAGGGTCCACAGTGTAATTTTTTTTCTTCTAAACCAGGTATGCAAATGCAGGGACAAAATCTGTAAATTAGTCACAACAACTCCGCAAATTGAGGGCCTATATCTATTTTACAGACCTGCACTAGCAAACCTGGTTCAGAAACTTCCTTTTTTTACACTTTGACCCCTCTGCAAATTGCGGACCTAGTGACATTTTGGTGATTTTAGAAGAGAAATGGCTAAGAGGTGAAACCACAAGACGAAAATGGCTATTTAATTAATTTCCCATTTTGTTTTCTTTCTTTTACTTCCCTTCTTGATGTTGTTTTGTTTTGTTTTCCGCTGTCCCTCCCATTATGCTTTCTTTCTTTTTCTCTTTTTCCATTTAGGAAAGACAACAAATATTCTTGGATCCTGCCATAATGGTTCCAAATGAAGGTCAGAAAGACAACTAACCTGGTTATAGAGCGAACTGACAAGAGTAGCACTGCCTTCAACATACTCCTGTACCGGGATACCAAACTTCCATTGAGGATTCAAGCTTCTTGCAATTTTCCCTACCGACTCTAACATCTCACCAATAAAATTCAGCCACTTCGAATCAAGCAAAGACACGAGTTTCTCCACCTTTACACGAAGACCCTGTCCATGCACAGCCAGATAGCTCACAACGTTTATAAGGTCAAGATTTGGCATTTGCCCATTAGATGCCTCAGCATAAATTTTTAGTGAATCTTGCTCGCCTTCTTCACCAGTGTTTGCAACCTTAATTACAAAGGCAGCTGCCATTGTTCCAGCACGTCGGAAAGTATCAGATACTTCTGTTTCCACAAACATATCCAACTTTGATCCGTGCATACCACTGGCTCCACGACAGTTATCAGCATGCAGCTTCCCATGGCCACCAAAAGAAGGAGTATGATAATCTCTTAGCCAAGCAGCAACGGAGTTATACTGTCCATACTGTGAGTCTGCGGCTAGCCATATAATATCTTTGGCTAGCCAACTAACTTGAGTCAATAATGAAAACACCGAGTACGCAATCCCTAAAGATAGCACCTCACTCTGAGTAAGATTTACAGGGTTGTAAGGAGTCACCAGCACAATGGCTTCCTTTCCATCACCCCGTGGAGCCCTAATAATTCCTATAGTATTGGTAGCATATGATTGGCAAGTCTTGTTCACAAGGTTTGCTTCTGCATCAGGACTGGTAAAGAAGTAAAGAGGGTGGAAATTGTTTGGTTGAGTTTGGAACTTATGATAATTGACTTCTCCACCCAAATTCGACATATGCAGTGCTATCAGTCTTGGGAGTTCTCTGCATTCACAGATGAACAAGGCAAAATTTTCTTTCTAGTCAGACTTGTGACCTTCAAAAGACCAACTAAATACATGGAAGGAAGCATGTGAGGAGGATCCACATACATGCCCATGTTCCAAGACTTCAATTTCGGGCTGGTTAGCTCATTCATAAATCTGGTTGCCCCAGAAACATCCTGATCGGAGAGCATGGGAGTGGCAGAACCTGTGAGATGATCATATGAGTTTGACAGTATCCAGGAATATAAGACCGGTATATCCGTATATGCCATGGGAAAAAAACCATCCAAGTAGCAGTACACAAGTTACTCCAACCACATTGCCATCTCAGTTTTAACTTTGATATCAATACACCTTTCTTAAAATCAATCTTAACAGTTGTAAGTAGCTAAAACATTATAAGACAGATAATTAAGCTATTAAATGGAGAAGAACAATGTAATAACTAAGAATCCTGAATTACAATCATCAAACATTAAGAATGAAGATCATTCAATAAAAAGTAGCTAGCAACAAAACTTAACAAACCAAAACAAACATAGCAATCAGGGAGGACACAATGTAGAGCATAAGGTGGCCTGTGCCACCGTATTGTTCATCCATCATAGTGTAAAAAAATTAAGGGTCGTGAAAAGCGCCATCATATTAATGTGTTGTATGGCACCGTATGTATTTTGAAACTACAATGAGAATAAGTTTTCTTTGGTAGAGTTGGTTTACAAGGCTTCTCTTCCATCCCATACCCGAGTTCGAATTCTGGCAGTGTCATTTTCTTAGTCTAATGATGCCACCGTTTGAAATTCTTTCCCTATATTTGTTTCTTATAATTAAATGGTGCCACTGTTGGAAATTCTTTCCCTATATTTGTTTCTTATAATTAAATGGTGCCACCGTTTGAATTTTTTTCCCTCTGTTTGTTTCTTATAGTCAAACACCGTTTCGCAATTTACCACCATAGCAAAAGTTCACACAAATCACATATACGTGGTTCAAAAAAACTTGCCGAATTTAACTACATATCAACTGAATTGAAGAAGTAGTATTATGATGAACTAACCAGGCATTAGAGCATTTTCTGAAACGTAGGTTTTCTTCGCCAGAACAGGTAACAGTAAGAGAGCCAAAACCCCAGCGGTGCAACAAACAACACTACATACACAATAATCAAAACAAAAACTACTCAATCCATTCTTCATCCATTAACAAAACCTCTAAACCTAATTATACGTACAAAATCTTATAATACTGTGAACGAAAGTGAAATTGGAGAAGCAGTACCTAACTAAAAAACTGTGAGCAATAATGAAGATACCGATTCGGATAATCGGTCGATGCTTCGGTTTCTGTCCATCAATCTCCGCCGTTGAAACCATCGTGATCTCGAATCGGAGCGACCGGCGACGAGCTCTTTTCGGCTATTCGTCTGAGAAATGCTTGGATCTACGATGAAGTTACCAATGGTAAAGGAATGAAGTAAATCGAATTACAAAACCTTACCTTAAACTATGGATACTATGCAACTTTGGTCCTTCATAATTTTTTTTTTGCATTATTGCCCTTAAATTGACTATTGTTTATAACAAACGTTAATTATCTTCGTTTTCCCTAAACGAAAAAAACGCTTTTTTGTCAAGAAGCCATTCTCGACCGTTGATAACAACAAATGGTATCTAACTGGATTAAAATACAAAACAGTAGTAACATAAATAGTTTATGAAGGACTAAGATTGTACTATATATTTAGGTATAAAACTGTAATACATTTTTTTCAAATAACTCAGATATTTTTAGAAAATCCCTTTTGACCTTGCAGTTAAACTTAACCCTTGTTTAATTTTTATTACAGTTTTCCGACATACTGCAGAGCTGTCGATTCTTCCATAAGCTCGTTTGCAAGATTTCATGGTATATGGTACGCTCCCCCTCCCCTCTTTGTTTTCTTAAAATCGTGATTCTGACATTTGCGTTATTTTTCCGTTTGATCTTGCATCAATCCGATTTGGAAAACATTCGAATTGAAAGTCAATCGATCAGTATTTATAATCGACAAAGATTAGGTTAGATTTATTAAAATCCGGATTTCACTGTTTACGCGATTATGCGGTTTGATTATGCATCGATCCAATTTGGAAACTATTCTAAATTGAAAGCCAATCAACCAATATGCAGATGTTATACGCCATGTAAAATTTAATAGAATCTGAAATCACACACGATCTTGATAGTATAATTACATGATTTAGTAAAAAATTTAATTTTTTTATGTGTGATCTTTAAATTTGAAATATATATAGAGAGAAAAGGACTCAAATTCATACGAAAACAATAACTAAATAAGAGAATGAAAGAATGATTGAATCACATGTGATTCACGCGACATTGGCCGCTATTGAAGATCGACGGTCACGTCGTCCACACACACTTACGTTTGAATGTTATTGCAAAATCACATGCAATTTTGCATGTGAGTTGGTCGTTTTCGTGTTTTTTTATTTGATTATTATTCTCGTTTGAACCTTCCTACATATATAGGGTTGGGTTCACATGAGACCATCTTATTTTCGTGACACCACAAAAAATGTTGAAACTATACAACAATCTGTTGTGAATGTACAAAAAACAACGAACCTTCACAGCAAAAACACTGTGAATGTTATCTTCACAACCCGTTATAATGTTTTTGCTATGAAGGTAAAGTGTTATCACTCAAGGGTCTTACGAAAATAGTCTGGTCTCATGTGATCCAACTATATATATATATATATATATATATATACTATATATATATATATAGAGAGAGAGAGAGAGAGAGAGAGAGAGAATTATAGAGGAATGATCATGAGAAAAGTTAAACATCATGCGAGAAAACAATAAATGCAATATCATATATGATTACACAACCTTTGGGTGTGTTTAATCATCTATGATTAAACGTCTATGACAATGTAACATGTGTTTAATCATATATGATATCACACTTCTCGTCTTCTCACAAAGTGTAGCTTCTCGTTTCAACCTGCGGTTATATATAATCAAATTTTATATATATTTTGAATTGTTGATCGTAATTAGGGGTGAGCAGCGAAATCAGGTACCCGGCTATGGAACCAGAACCGCCTTGGAACCGCCGGTTTCAAAACCAAAACCGATATGAGTGGTTTCGGTTCCGGTTTTTAAAATATGGAACCGATTGAGAATGGTTCTGGTTCCGGTTCTCAATTTTTCGGAACCGTTACCCGCCGGGTACCCGGTATTTTTCAATAAAAATAATTGTTATTTTTTAATACCAAATTTATATTAGGTTTACATCTTGAAATCACGTCGTCATCTTCATTTTTCATCTAAATTTTTTATATAGAATGATTCGTATTTTTTCAAATTGTGTGTTCACTTGGATTCACAGTATGTAATCGTTAAACTTTGAACATTTATCATTATCATATGTAATCGTTAAACTTTGAACATTTTCTATTAGTCTAATATGGTTTGTAATCGTTAAACAATATTTGTAACCATTATTCTATATAATTAGTATTATTTGCTTATTTATTTAGTATTTTGGAAATGTTTTATTTTGTATTTCTAAATAACAAAATTTTAATATTTTAGAAAGCGGGTACCCGGAACGGGAACCGGTTCCGGTTCCAAAAATTTATGAACCGCTCTAACCGGTTCCGGTTCCAATATCTCAAGAACCGCCGGTTCCGGTCAAAAAAGTGCGGGTACCCCTAATCGTAATTGCTTACCTTCCCACTTTTCGCTAGGCATCCAAGGACATTCTTTCAGTAAATAGAGCTCTTTATTCATGGCGTCACTCACGGCTGTTCACCACCGCAAAGCCACCGTCGCCGCCGCCAGGAAAAACCCATTTTGGTGGCTTGAAAGACGAAGATCGCATTTTCACCAACCTTTACGGTGTCCATGACCCTTATCTCAAAGGAGCCAGAAGACGTGGCGATTGGCACAGAACTAAAGATCTGGTGATCAAAGGCACTGATTGGATTGTTGAAGAAATCAAGAAATCCGGTTTACGTGGCCGCGGTGGTGCCGGATTTCCGTCCGGCCTCAAATGGTCGTTCATGCCGAAAGTCTCTGATGGCCGGCCATCGTATCTTGTGGTCAATGCCGATGAAAGCGAGCCCGGAACATGCAAAGATCGGGAAATTATGCGCCACGATCCGCATAAATTGTTGGAAGGTTGCTTGATTGCGGGAGTCGGGATGAGGGCGATCGCCGCTTATATCTATATTCGGGGTGAATACGTAAACGAACGGATTAGTCTTGAAAAGGCTCGAAAAGAAGCGTATGCTGCCGGTTTATTGGGGAAGAACGCTTGCGGTTCAGGTTACGATTTTGATGTCCACATTCATTACGGTGCCGGTGCTTATATTTGCGGGGAAGAGACTGCACTTCTCGAAAGTCTTGAAGGAAAACAAGGAAAACCGAGATTGAAGCCGCCTTTTCCAGCAAATTCGGGTCTTTATGGCTGTCCATCGACTGTTACGAACGTGGAAACGGTTGCGGTTGCACCCACAATTCTAAGGCGTGGGGCCGAATGGTTCGCGGGTTTCGGGCGGAAAAACAATTCGGGGACGAAATTGTATTGTATATCCGGTCATGTGAACAAGCCGTGCACGGTAGAAGAGGAGATGAGTATGCCGTTGAAGGAGCTAATCGAGCGGCATTGTGGCGGTGTTAGGGGTGGCTGGGAGAATCTACTGGCGGTGATCCCCGGTGGTTCATCGGTGCCGTTGATTCCGAAGAGTGTGTGCGATGATGTGTTGATGGATTTCGATGCACTAAAAGAAGCCCAATCAGGATTGGGAACCGCGGGCGTTATCGTGATGGATAAATCGACGGATATCGTTGACGCGATTGCCAGGCTCGCATACTTTTATAAGCACGAGAGTTGCGGTCAGTGCACGCCGTGCCGAGAGGGCACGACGTGGCTATGGATGATCATGGAACGTTTGAAGATCGGGAATGCAAAATTGGAGGAAGTCGATATGCTTCAAGAGTTAACGAAGCAAATCGAAGGGCACACGATTTGTGCGCTCGGGGATGCCGCGGCTTGGCCCGTTCAAGGTCTCATTAGGCACTTTCGGCCCGAACTCGAGAGACGGATCAAGGCGCACGCCGATAGAGAGCTACGACAAGCGTCTAAGTGAATTAAGCTTTTTTTGTTGACGACGTTTGGAACGAAACATTTCGATCGTTTAATAAGAATGTTTGACGTTGAATATGTGTTTGTGTAAAGACTGATTTACGATGTCCAAGGTCTAATAAAACCAGATTTTGTACCCTGCTTGTTAACTTCTTAATAGTTCCATTACGAGGTATTATCTGAATTGTTAAGAGATGAATCTTGTGTGACAAAACAAAGTCTGCCTCTTAATGGTTCTAAAACATCTGAATGATTTTGTATCTTGAGCTTCCCTAAACCATTCAGCACTCTAATTTCATTCTGAACAATTATTAAACAACCATATTTCATTTTAAAATATATCATAAGAGTCTCTTAATCATTTTAACCACTTAATCATCTTTTACCAAACTATGAATCAGTTAATAAACAAATTATATATTAAAAATATATAATTTGAAAACTAAAGTCAATATTAATAATATTTTGTATTTTTTTAATATTTGTTAATTATGCAAACTTTTAATTTAATAAATAAAAAATTATTTCAATCTATACTATATTATAAAGCATTTGACAAAAACTTTTAAAAACCATTTTTTATGCGTAAAATACTGTTTATTAATTCATATTACTTAAAACTCAAGATTACAAGTAGATTGTGCGCAAGTACAACTTATTAAAGTTACATATCTGAATTCGTGTAACTAACTGCAGATAAACATAATCAAATACAGGGTAAACATCTCATTTTAACTATGAAAAATCTAATTTAAATAATTAAGATAATTATTGAATTCTAACAGAATACTTAATTATTATCTTTATAAAATGTTATCTATACTATATTTTAAAACATTTGACATAAACTCCTAAAAACCACTTTTTATGTATAAAGTACTGTTTATTAATGCATATTACTTAAAATTCAAGATTACAAGTAGATTGTGCGTAAGTACAAGTTCTTAAAGTTCCATATCTGAATTCATGTAATTAACTGCAGATAAACATAATAAAATACATGATAAACATCTCATTTTAAATATAAAAATCTAAAATATAATTAGGATAATCATTGAATTCTAACAAAATACTTAATTATTATTCTTATAAAATGTTATATTATTAAGCCAAAAATAAATTATTTCATTATTAAACTTAAATTAAATTATAATAAAAAATAAATTAAAGAAATTACATAAAAAATGAGAACTTTTAAATAGTTGAGTTGATATTAACATTGATATATTTTTCTTCAAATTTTTATGATATTTTCAAATTTATCTTTTATTCAAAAATAAAATCATTAATGCTTTCTTAAAACACATAAAATCGTATTATAACATCGACAGAGACAAATAATAAAATAGAACATTAAAATCGAGATGTGTCTCGTTACATTGCGTGAGTACCCTTCTAGTATTAATAAATGATAGAAGAGTACTCGTGCAATGCATCGAGACATATCTTGATTTCAGTGTTTTATTTTATTTATTTTTATATCGATATAATACGGTTTTATTTGTCTTTGAGAAAACGATAATGTTTTTATTTTTAAATAAAATATAAATTTGAAAATATCATAAAATTTTGAAAAAAATATATATCAATATCAGTATCAAGTTAATCTTTTTAAAAGTTTTTGTGTTTTGGTGTAATTTCTTTAATTCAATTTTTTTAATTATAATTTAATTTAGGTTTAGTANAATTTTCAATAAATTAATATACTAAAAATATATAAAAAATCGTCTGTATACCATTATTAACAATAGTTTAAGAGAAATGTATTTGTATAAAACCATATCACGATATGGGAAATTAACCAAAATAATTATTTTATACACTTTATATTAACAAAATGATCACTTTTGTATAAACTATATCATAATAATTTAAAAGTTGTGATGTTAGATTGTGTTTAAGGATTAAGGGTTGTGAGAGTATAAGTGTTTGGATCACTACAACTTTATAGAGAATACTATAAGATTTATGTATATACTATATTTGGTCCTAAAAAGGACGAAATACCAATGCAAAATCACCCCTCATACTTTTAAAATCGCCCCTGAAATGTCAAATCGATACGTCTTGGGTTGTCCTCAGTAGAAGGTAAATTTAGGGTCAAAATCGCCCCAGGGGTGATTTGGGGCTTCTTGGGCGATTACTCTATATCAGATATAATATCTAAGTTGTTGTCCCTAAAATCAGGTACATGTGGAAATCCTTCATACATTCCGGTTAAAATCACCCCCAATGGGTGATTTGCATGGTTATTTTGTTAAAAAAAATCTCTGAAAAGTGGTCATTTTGTTAATGTAAAATGTATAAAATGATTATTTTAGTTAATTTCCCTACAATCATTTTATCCTTTATTAAAATAATCAAGTTGAGAAAAAAGTATGATTAAATACATGAAATAACAATTTATTTTAATTAATTTTCTTTATTATGATATTGTATTTTAATTCTTTTATTATAAGAGTAATGTATTTATAAATTAAATTTTATTAGAGAATTGTAGTTTAAAAAATCTACCTATCTATACTATATTATGAAGTATTTGACAAAAACTTTTAAAAACTATTTTTTAAGCATGAAATATTGTTTATTGATGCATATTACTTAAAATTCAAGATTACAAGTAAATTGTACATAAGTACAACTTATTAAAGTTTTATATTTAAATTCGTGTAACTAACTACTGATAAACATAATCAAACAGAGAATAAACATCTCACTTTAAAATATAAAAAATATAAAATATAATCAAGATAATTATTAAATCCTAACATAATAGTTAATTGTTATTTTTATAAAAAATATATTATTAAACCTAAATTAAGTTACTTTGTTATGTTAAATTAAATTATAATAAAAAATTGAATTAAAAAAAATACGAAAACAAGAACTTTAAATAGTTAATTTGATACTAATATTGATATATTTGTTACAAATTTTATATATTTTTAAATTTATATTTTATTCAAAAATAAAAGCATTATCATTTTCTCAAAACCACATAAAAGCGTATTACATCGAAATAGATAAAAAAATAAAACTAAACATTGAAATCGAAATGTGTCTCGATGCATTGCACGAGTACCCTTCTAGTTATAATAATTGATAGCTTGTTACTTTTTAAACGGTTAACTCGTTACTTTTTTTTAACTTAATGTCTTAAATGATGTAATATCGTGAATCACGGTTTCAAAATGGAATTCTAAAACAGAAAATTTGGATGAAACAAAAACAGGTATGATCTTGTTATTGAATGAAAACAAATATTACAAAGAACTTTCTCTCTCTGAACAGCTCTTATATAAAATCTGTCAATATGAATTACAATTAAACTCTTAAGCCCAAGACACCTATTTATAGGTGTGAGGGGTGAGCAGCGGAACCGGGTACCCGGCTATAGAACCAGAACCGGAACCGCCGGTTCCAGAACCGGAACCAATATGAGTGGTTCCGGTTCCTAAAATACGGAACCGATTGAGAATGGTTCCGGTTCCGGTTCTCAATTTTTCGGAACCATTACCCGCCGGGTACCCGGTATTTTTCAATAAAAAAATAATAATAATTTTTAATACCAAATTTATATTAGGTTTACATGTTAAAAACACGTCGTCATCTTCAATCTTCATCTAAATTCTTCATATAAAATGATTCGTATTTTTTCAAATTGTGTGTTTACTTGGATTCATAGTATGTAATCGTTAAACTTTGAATAATTACCATTATAGTATGTAATCGTTAAACTTTGAACATTTTCTATTAGTCTATTATGGTTTGTAATCGTTAATCAATATTTGTAACCATTATTCTGTATAATTTGTATTCTTACTTATTTATTTAGTGTTTTGACAATGTTTTATTTTTTATTTCTAAATAACAAAATTTTAATATTTTAGGAAGCGGGTACCCGGAACCGGTTCCCGGCGGTTCCGGTTCCAAAAATTTAAGAATCGCTCTAACCAGTTCCGGTTCCAATATTTCAAGAACCGCCGGTTCCGGTTCCTGTCAAAAAGGACGGGTACCCGCCTATGCTCACCCCTATTGGTGTCACTTACAAGGTATAAGCAGTAAGGTCAATGCTCAATGCCCAATGCAATACAGTACAAGGTATTATAATACAAAGCATAAGATTGACTTTATAAAACTTTCAATATCTTGGGGTTAATCTAGACCCAACAATTTCATACTAAAGTTTTCCAAAGAAAGCAGGGGGAGATAATCTGAATGCTTCATTTATAAAACTTTAGGAGGAGATTGTTGGGTCTACATTAGCCTCAAGATATTGAAAGTTTTATAAAGTCAGTTTTATGCATTGTATTGTAATATTCAATATTGTAATGGGCATTGGGCTTACATGTAATTGACGCCTATAAATAGGTGTCTGGGGCTTTAGATTAGTCATTATTTGTGTTTTCTGTTTTAGTAATAATAAAGAGGCTTGTGTTCATCTTCAATCAATTTGTTCTTGAATATGAAGCCCAAGACGCTTATTTATAGGTGTCAATTACATGTAAACCCTATGTTCAATGCCCGTTACAATACTGTATATTATAATACAATACATAAAATTGACTTTATAAAATTTTCAATATCTTAGGGCTAATCTAGACCCAACAAATGTATATAACAGATCATTTTAATGATATGGCCCAACGGGCCGTTTACCAAACTCTTATTTTGGTGAGAGCTTACCGAGTCACATTACCTTATCGGATGAATGCTGTAAGGACCAATAATCTATACCCGGTAAGAGCGAGGCAAGGGAAAGAGTCTTACCTAGTAAGTAAGGGCGATGACTCTTACCATGGTAAACGCTTACAAGATAAATTATTGCATACAATGTCGTTTTCGTGAACTAAAATCTTACCAGGTAAGTAAATGATAATGTTGAATTTTACCGGTAAGCGGTTACTGGTTAAATGTTTGGTAAACGACCCCTAAATAAAAAATCTCTTCCAGATTCTTTTTAATAATTTTCTCACTTTTCCTTTTTTGTGATTTTAAAAAACC